CCTCATGTGTTTTGTAGGTATCCGTCGCCTGTTATGGTAGACTCCAAGCGATGGCTGAAAAGGAGAGACACAAGAACGTCTCTGCAGCACGAAAGCCTTTCTACCATTTTTAGTGAAGTGAGTGAGTGAGTGAGTGATGGATGGGCTTCCAGTCAGTTTTCCTATTTTAGGTTGGCACCAACCATTCAAATTTGATGGATGGATGGGTGAGTGGATGTTACGGCATCTATCTATCCATCCATCCATCTATCTATGTATAGTAGGTAAAGATAAGTTTGGTTACGTAGGTAGACTGAAAAGTCCGGCTAAAGCAATCAATCGGTGATGACATGCAAGGATCGAATGAACAAACATTCGGGAACGAAAGGTTCGTTCATACGTTGATTAATTAAGCGTGTTCGCATCGCTGTCTCATCTAACTACCTAGGTATCTACATGTTTCCATTGGCTCATAAGCTTGGTAATGAAGTGACAACGCTGTTTTTTTCTCGGCCTTCCCTTATACAGTAGTCGTACAGTTATCCCCTTTCCGCTTCCGCTCCCACGTCCGCTGGTGTGTCTTCCAGGTCATATATATTGTCCTCGTCCGTTTGAGTGGTAACCTCCCCCGACATCAACTTGTAAGTCTCAAAGTAACAAACATTTGTGAGAAACCATTTATTTCCCCAATACGTTGACACGTTGAAGACATACTCTTCACCTGTATATGTAATGTTTACCGACATCAAGTCCTCATCAGGTGCTGGGCCGTCGTTAGCGGCCGTACTGGGCGGTACGGACGACGATGCTGACGTGGGAATGTTTTTATTGCTTGTTGATGTTGGCGGCGGTGCCGTTGTCGTTGGCTTGCTAGAGGTGACTGTGCCTTTCTTTACGGTCTCGGCCAGCTTCATCGAAACATAATTCCAGAAACCCCTCCTCTTCACAGCGGAAAAGCATAGCACAAACCACTGGTCATTTTGGATAGCACGTAGCGTTGGTCCTGCGGATCGCCTGGCTTCCTGAATTTCCGGTTGAAGTTTGGTCCATACCCTCCAAAAAACAGCCTCGATTTTTGCGAACTTGGACCTGGTCAGCTCCTTCAGCCTCGACAAGAAGACCATCTCCTGCCACATAACGAACGCTACCATGTTCGACGCGGACGGGTACGGGATGTGGTAGGCGAGCATAGCCCGACGGAGGTATTCTATTTCACCCATCGAGATGCGGATCTCCAGCATCTGCACATCTGCACCACCAGCGAATTTGGCGGCGTCAACGGTCCCAACGCGCTTGTCGAGCCGGTGCACAGCCCACTTGTACTTAGCCAGCGCGTGCTCGGGGTTACACATGAAAAAGACGAGGTCTGCTCTTTTGTGAGCTCTTCTCCGCGGCATCACGGAAGCCACTCTGTCTTGGGGATCGCCGTCGCCGGTAACATTTTTATAGAGGAAAGGTTCCCGCTCGGGCTCCCTGGGTACTTCTACCAAGCTGTCGATGTTGGACACCCCCACAGGGCCGAGATTACCGGAGCTAGATACTCTGGTGTTCTTGAGCTGCGTACCGGTCACGACCTTGTACAATATCAGGTGATCCTGTGTTGTGTGTCTTTCACTATCTTTGCGAACAGTGCAGGCGCAAGGAGGAGCATCCGGCGGTCCTCTGAGCCCTGCCAGAAATGTAGATTCGAGAACTGGTCCTCCGCAGCGAAGGTTCTTTGCGGTGTAGAAATCAGGCACCTCGTCTTCATCTTTGTCTGGGCGGCCACTGTGCGCCAAGAGTGAGATGGGTACATCTATGTTCCGTTTGCGTTGATGCTAGCGGGCCTGGAACAGGCTTAGCTTGGAGGAGGGTGACGAGGATAAAGGGGGAACGTCCCAGTCGTGATGTTCCCATATCCGAGCAGTTCTTTTCCTCGAGGTGGTGTATATTTCTACCAACAAATCCCAACGCTGTCGCAGGGTGTCTTCAATCCAGTAGTTGCAGGATTCGGTTAGACGTTGGGCGCGGAAACAAGGGTCCATGATCATGTTCACGAATTGTTGGGAGAGACCATGGGCGTGAAGGACTCGTCTCCATTCGTTATCATCATCGTTGAATTTGCTAAGGGTTGGAATCCCACCGGCAACGTCGGGAAGACGAAAATAGGTCAAGATGACGTCGCGGAATTCCAAGATGCCTGGCCTTCTGTTGCTGTGAAGGTAGAGCCATTGTTGCCACAGCTGGTCGGCCATCTTGTCACTGAAGCCAAGCCAGATGAGCGCTTCCCGTGAAATGAGAATCATTGGTATCTCGAGCATATCGGACGGCTTTGTTGGGGATTTGCGGAGGGCATGTGAGATGTTGTCGTGGCTGAGGAAGCAACCTTTGTGCAGTTCATGATATCCAATATCATGGTTCAGATTCAACAGGCCGTACTCTTGCAGGCCACGGGCGTCCTCCTTCGTCAGAACGAACCATGAACGATCGTTCGACATTGCGCGCCACTGTCAGAAAAGGAAAAACTGATATCAATGTAGAGATATGTAGAAGGCAGCAATGGGAGGTGTATCCAAAGAGTACGGGGCTGATTTGGTGGAAAGATTGGGGAACGGTGAGAGAATTGTGGGATTTATGCCCACGGGTATCATTCGAAATTGGCTCATCCAGCAACGCAGCTTCCGACTAGGGCTTTGGGACCTGCCCATCAGCATCACCAGCATCGACATCATCGTTTGTTCCTTCTTCCACTTTATCACCTTTCGCCACTCCCCTGGTCGGCCAGCCCTCTGCCTGCCTCTTTGCCCACTTGACAGCCTTCTGGTGCTTCTTGCTCTTGAGGTGCTTCTGCCACTGTTCTTCGATTCTAAACTCCTTCTCGCACACTTCACATGTCTTGTTGCATATTGTCTCGGGTCGGTTGCTCCTTTCCAACTGCTCGGCCAACACCTCTCTTGCAGTGTCCGACAAGTCTTCTGGTCGCGGTAGCGGCTGATGGGCAAGATGTTTGGCTAGAAGAGAACTTCCTTTCTCGGCTACTTCAGAGTGCCAATGGGAAATGTTGGACGAGTCCAAGAGATAGAAGTTGGACAGAAGATTCTCTTCCTGAAGGGCTGCAATGGTCTTGCGAGCAATCCACCTGATTTGGTATTTTGCGTACTGGCGGGTTGCTGTCTTGGTGTCCTCGATTCCTTGTTGCTTGAGTTTTTCAAGTGCGGCGTGTGGAGTGTCGTTTTCGGTAGACTTGACAGCTGATAAATATGATTCGAATTGGCGGAACCCGATGGACTGCCAGATGCCCTTGGTGCGGTCGACAGTGTCACCTGCTGCGAGCCGGCGCTGTAAATAGTCGTAGACTGACGATGTTTCGTCCAAAAGACCATTGGCTACCATCTTGTCTACACGCTTGTCAAGGCGTTCGTTGAGCACGTCGGGCTTGGCGTAGAGCCAGAAGAGAAGCAAATTCCAGGGACTCGGTGGCTGCTCTGCGCGCTTGGCCTCTTTCCGAGCGCGCTGTTCGGCATAAATGTCGGAGGCACGACGGCCAGTGCTAAGGTAAATCTCGAGCGAGTTGCGAATCTTGCGAATGTCTTTGGGGTGCCATCGCTCGGCCATGGCTGGGTCGACTTCTTGTAGCTCGGCCAGCATGACGTCGGCGGACTCGCGAAGAATTGGGTGTTGGCTTGCGAGTTCGTCTCGTGTAGCTTTGGCGGCGGCTGTCTCTGATCCGTCGGTCGTCGCAGGATCCGACTCAACCAGCTTCTCGTCGAACAGCAGGCCGTCAAGATAGTATGAAGTTCCTCCTACTACAATGGGCAGCTTTCCCCTCGACCTGATATCCGATATAATCTTTGTGGCTTCGCGTTTCCAGCTGGTGACAGACCATGGCTCCTCGTCGAGTCCAATGTTGCCGAGGAGGTAATGGGGGATGCCGCGCTGCTCTTCGGGAGTGAGCTGGTTGGTGATGATGGGTAGGCCTCGGTACATTTGCATGGCGTCGGCGTTGATGATTTCGCCATTAAATCGGGTCGCTAGTTCCACGGCAAGCTGGAGCCATAATCATTGTGATCAGCGCACTGGGCAATGGTGAACAAATGGCTGGTGCAATAGATCATGGAGGTAGCTGTCGTACATCAGACTTGCCGGTGCCCGTGGATCCGTAGATGACAACCAGAGGGTCTGCCATTGTTGCTGCGCGAAAGACGGAACGAATGGTCTGGGAGAATACTGGAATGGTCCACCTCATTGGCCTTTATTGGAGAAGTGTGTCGAGGTGCTGAGGCGCATTGCTCTAAAGCGTTGACGAAATGGGAGAAAAGAAAACAAACATTAAAAAAGTTCAAGATGGGATTGAATTGGCAATTGACCCCGGCAGGCATCCACCCCACCAAGCCCACCTTCAATCGCAAACTAAGTTGACACACGGATTGTTGTCGATAAGAGAAATGGCATCCACACGCTGACTCCTACCATAACCCCTGCCTACGGCTGTCCCTGCGGCTGTCCAGGGCTTCCCCAACGATTTGGATTCCGGGCAGTTTCAACAAGGGGCGGCTGGAAAGTGGAGGGATGCCTTTGTGTACAGTAATTGTGGACAGCCGGCCCGGATGATGCCTGCCGAAGGAGCTTCCTCGTTCTGGGTGTGAGCTAGGGAGGTCACTTGGAGCTGGAACGAGCTTCTGACGTTTCTGCAGGGGCGGGGAGAGAACAACCGCCAGCGGGAAGGCTGGCTGGCCATGCAATTCGCGGCCATCATTGGTCCCAAGTCACGTGGAGTGGGTCTCTTCCCAAGAACACTAGCAGCAACCGGGACCCTCCAAATTGGACACATCACACTTGGGCGACTTTTTGGACAGATCTCGCGACGCACCGCCTTCCGCCTTCAAGTTCCGTGTCCCTCGGCCAGCTTCCACTTCCACACTTCCACCCGACTTCCAGGACACTTCTTTTAATCGCCAACTCCTCCTCCTCCTCCACCCGACTTCCACTTTCCTTCCTTGCTTGATCCTTCAACGCAGCGCCGACAACACTCTCTGCGCTTTCAACTCTACAAAGGGCTGTTGTCGCCCGTTTAGTTTAATCTTCCTTCTTTTTACCCTTCCCTTCTTCCTTCACACACGCCATTGCCCACCATGAGTTCCCGTAAGTTGTTCGGTCATCGACGGCCATGTTGAACACACGCGTAGGCGCGTTGGCAATACCAGACTGTCCCGTAACTAACCTCACCTCCCGCCCGCCATGCAGTACGGTTCCTCGATCTCGTCAAGCCCTTCGTGCCGTTCCTCCCCGAGGTTCAGCAGCCCGAGACCAAGATCCCCTTCAACCAAAAGTTGATGTGGACGGGCTTGACCCTGCTCATCTTCTTGGTCATGAGCCAGATGCCCCTCTACGGCATTGTCTCGTCCGACACGTCCGATCCGCTATACTGGCTGCGTATGATGATGGCGAGTAACAGAGGTACCCTGATGGAGCTCGGTATCACCCCCATCATCTCCTCCGGCATGGTCTTCCAGCTCCTGGCCGGCACCCACATGATCGACGTCAACCTCGACCTCAAGGCCGACCGCGAGCTCTACCAGACGGCCCAGAAGCTGTTCGCTGTCATTCTCTCCATCGGCACCGCCACTGTCTACGTCTTCACCGGTCTCTATGGCCCTCCCAGCGACCTCGGTGCCGGTATCGTCTTCCTCCTCATCCTCCAGCTCGTCGTTGCCGGCATGATTGTCATTCTCCTCGATGAGCTCCTCCAGAAGGGCTATGGCCTCGGCAGCGGTATCTCGCTGTTCATTGCCACCAACATCTGCGAGTCCATCATGTGGAAGGCCTTCTCCCCCACCTCCATCAACACCGGCCGTGGCCCCGAGTACGAGGGTGCCGTCATTGCCCTCTTCCACCTCCTCATGACCTGGGACAACAAGCAGCGTGCTCTCTACGAGGCTTTCTACCGCCAGAACCTCCCCAACATCATGAACCTGCTCGCCACCCTCGTCGTCTTCGCCGCCGTCATCTACCTCCAGGGCTTCCGCGTCGAGATCCCCGTCAAGTCTTCGCGCCAGCGTGGTGCTCGCGGCTCTTACCCCATCCGCCTCTTCTACACCTCCAACATGCCCATCATGCTGCAGTCCGCTCTCTCCTCCAACGTCTTCCTGATCAGCCAGATGCTCTACTCTCGCTTCTCCGAGAACCTTCTGGTCCGTCTTTTCGGCGTCTGGGAGGCCAAGGAGGGCACTGCCCAGCTCTCTGCCGTTTCCGGTCTTGTCTACTACATGAGCCCCCCTCTCAACTTCAAGGACGCTCTCCTCGACCCCATCCACACCGCCGTCTACATCGCCTACATGCTCACTGCCTGCGCCGTCTTCTCCAAGACCTGGATTGAGGTTTCCGGCTCCAGCCCCCGCGATGTCGCCAAGCAGCTCAAGGACCAGGGTCTCGTCATGGCCGGCCACCGCGAGCAGAGCATGTACAAGGAGCTCAAGCGTATCATCCCCACTGCTGCCGCTTTCGGTGGTGCCTGCATTGGTGCTCTCTCTGTTGCCAGCGACCTCATGGGCGCTCTCGGCTCCGGTACCGGTACTCTCTTGGCTGTCACGTAAGTCTTGTCACCTGATTGCGGATAAATGACCAATTTGCTAACATTTCCCCTCTCCAGTATCATCTACGGCTACTTCGAAATTGCCGCCAAGGAGGGTGATCTTCAGGGCATGAAGGGTATGATCATGGGTTAAGAGATCCAGATCTATGCCTTGGTGTCATATCAAGAGGTATCGAAGACCTCGAATCAGGTCAGCCATGATGACGAAGGCAATCCTTGATACGGGTTTGCTGGGCTGGCTACCTGGTGGTACTATATGTGGAATATAATGAGTGGAAAGAAATCAAGATAAACCTATGTCGTGTTGTGTGTTTGTGTAACTCAAATGTGTATTATACTACCTCGGGAAAAACCAAAGGGTCCACAAAAAGGGTGGCGTCTTTATGAGCACTTGCTAGAAGCGAGCGGACGAATGGGGCGGGGATAAGGAAGACAGTGGTTGCTATCTTTATCTGGCTCTCAATATATTGGGTGTAACATGGATAACGAATGGTTACAAAGTTCCTGGACTACCAGGCCTGCTGTGGGACGGTTGGTTGTCAAACGTGTTGACTATATACAGCATTGCTTCCAGGTCTGCTCAAGAGGGTTCGCTGATGGGAGAGCTCCTGGGACCGCGGATTATGCGACACAGTATGGGAGCCCATAGAGGTACACAACAAAGACAGAGATTCTGAATCTATCGACGCTTCATCCCATCATTTCTGTTTCTTGTCTTGAGCCTTTTTTTTCCTTTTTTTTTTTTTTTTTTTTTTTTTTTTTTTTTTTTTTTTTTTTTTTTTTTTTTTTTGTGAAACATTCTTCGGAGCTGACTGCCTTTTTTTTTTTTTTTTTTATTTACTTACCTCTGCAGACGGGATGTCTTCTAGTATGTTTTTCTCTACTAAATGTCTGCCATCAACATAGTGTCTACCCAAGCCTCCCACCTCTTGGTTCTACTTGAAGACAACCGAACTTTTTTCGATTACGTCCCGTGAAACAAAAAGGAGAGATCCGTATGAATCTAGGCTGGTGTAGTACAAGGGATATCATTTCTGTTTTTTTTTTCTCTTCTTCTTTGTGTCTTGTTCAACTCTATCCCATCTACCTACTATACTACCGGGAACTATGATGTACCTGTACTGTACTTTTTGTCTATCCTGACACTCATCTACCCTACAACTCAACTGAACCGAACCGAACTGAACTGAACTGTTCAAGACACGGAAATAAAAAAAAGCAGAGATCAAGCCTCAATCTGACTCTTGACCCACTTCTCCAATCCTCCCCTGGCAATAATCTCCTGCACATTCGGCGGCAACTCGCCCACCTTTTGCTCCCACTTCTTGCCTGACGCCTCCTCAACAACCACCTTGCTGCGTCGCACATCCCACGTCAACTTCCACCCTGTGCGTCTAGTGGCCACCGTCTTCTCGCCGCCGCCGAATTCTTCACGGAGTCGCTGAACCAGCTTGGGCACCTCGACGCCCATCAAGGCGTTGTTGATGGAGTTCCTGCTAAAGATGTTGCCGAAACTGCCGCTCACCACCAGCGGGATTTGCTTTGCTAGAATAGCGGTCGCCGCTTGTTCACGCGAGGAACCGCAGCCAAAGTTGAAGCCTGTCACGAGAATGTCGCCGGCGCGCGCGATGGAGCCAAAGGAAGCATCGTAGTTCTCCATGCAGACTTCGGCCATCTTGGCCGGGGTGATGTTGTCCTGGTAGGTGTATTTGCCGGGGTAGATGCCGTCCGTGTTGATGTTGTCGGCGTCGCAGAAGATGATTTCGCCGGAAATGGCTTCGGGGAAGCCGGGGAGGATTTCCGTGAGGGATTCTTCCTCCGACGAAGAAGGAGAAGAAGAGGTAGATTCGGGGGTAAGACCTGCCTCGGCGTTGGCGATGAGCGACTCAGCCTCGGCAATGATCTTGTCGAGAGCGTCTTCAATGGACATGGCCTTGTCTTGCTCAACGACACCGTTGCCTTCGCCGATGATCACCTTCTCGACACCCTCGGGCTTTTGGTACCAGCCGGGACCGGCGATCTTGCCCTTCAGAGCAGAAGCGGCGACGACTTCGGGCGAGGCGAGGTAGGCCTTGGCGTCGGTGGAACCCATGCGGCCCTTGAAGTTGCGGTTGGAAGCAGAGATGCCGATCTCACCGGGCTCCAACAGACCGGTGCCCAGACCGATGCAGGGACCGCAGCCGGAAGGCAAAGGCTCGGCGCCAGCGTCGAGAAGGACTTGCCAGTCGCCCGAGTCTTCGGCTTGCTTCTGCTCGAGGAGGGAGGCGGCGGCAATGTAGAATTTGACGCCGGGAGCGACCTTGGGGATGACGCCGTTGTTGTCGGCAGCGGCGTCCTTGAACACGCGGGCGGCCGCGGCGATGTCGGAGGCGCGCGAGTTGGTGCACGAGACGAGGTAGGCCTTGTCGAGCTTGAGGTTCTGGGCCTCGAGGTCCTTGAGGGGAGTAGCGATCTTGACGGAGTTGGGGCCGGCGACAAAGGGGGAGAGGGTGGACAGGTTGAGGTAGAGCTGTTTGGCGTAGGTGGCGCCGGGGTCGGCGACCAGAGGGTTCTCGAGCAGGGCGTCGATCTTGGCGTGGGTGAACTTGGCCTTGTCGCCCAGCTCGGGGTGTTCCATGGCGGTGACGGTGGCCTTGGCGCGCATCCAGGAAGCCAGGACGGCGTCGATGGGGAAGAGACCAGAGAGGGCGCCCCATTCGGTGGTCATGTTGGCGATGGTCAGGCGGTCGTCGACGGGGATGGAGCGCATGGTTTCTTCGGCGCCGGTGAACTCGATGGCGTGGTTCAGCACGTCGTCGTTGTTGAAGAGGCCGCACAAAGCAACGATCACGTCCTTACCCGTGACACCGGGCGGGAGCAGACCGGTGAAGGTGACCTTGGCGATGGGCGGGATCTGCCACCATGTCTTGCCCGTGGCCCAGATGGAGGCCGCGTCGGTGCGCACCATGGGTGTGCCCAGGCAGCCGACGCCGCCGTACATGTTGCTGTGCGAGTCGGAGGCGACAGTGACGGTGCCCGGCCACGCGTAGCCCTCTTCAACCATGATCTGGTGGCCGATGCCCCGGCCGGCAGGGTAAAAGTCAACGCCGTGCGTGTTGGCGAACTCCTCGATCTGGCGGTACTTTTTGAGGTTGGCCTCGCTCTTGTTCTGCACGTCGTGGTCGAGGGTCATGACGACCTGGCGGTTGTCGTGGATTTTGGAGGCGCCGATGGACATGAACTTCATGGCAACGGGCCACGAGTTGTCGTGGGTCATGCAGTGGTGAGGCTGGAGGGTGACATAGTCGCCGGACTTGACCTTCTTGCCGGGAGCGAGGCCGACCGAGTAGCGCTGGACAATCTTCTCGGTCAAGGTCTGGGGCACTTGGGGGACGACCTTGGGGAGGGTCGAGGAGGCCAGGTTCTCGAGCTGCGAAGGGAAGGCATCTTGAAGACGGCGCGAGGTGGTGCTGTAGTAGGAACCGGAGGCGGCGGCGGCGCGGACACTGCGGACAGAGGTGGTTCTCGAGGCGGCTGCAAGGAATTGACGGGGGGCTCTGCTGGCAGCCACGGCCAGGGCTCTTCTCTGGAAGCGGGTAAGGTGAAGTCTCTTGTTAGTCGCGATGCCAATGGCAATGTCAATGGCAACTGGAGGGTAAATAGGAATGTAAACATACCACGGGGTGAATCATGATGGACCAGCTATCACGACTTGCAACTGACCATGGCACTGCCGGACAGACTGGAATTGCAATTGGGTGTTTGAAAATAGATGTAACCCCAATTGGAGCCGACGACAGATTGGAAATCGAGTCACAACGACTCGTTCAACGACTGGGGATGGGCCGGCAGTCACAGTCAGTAGTGGAGTCCGGGGATGCCATGGATAATGGCCCGGCCGGGGGAGGGTGGCGATCCCGGCATTGAAAATATTTGGTGGGGGGCTCCGGCACCGGCCGTCTTGACACCCGTCGTTGCGCACGTCAGGCACCAACGTCTACATTAAGCCGAGGAGGTACGTACATGTACCACCGTCACAATCAAGGTGAAGAGGAAGTGACAGGATTACAGTACCGTGACACTAAAACCTTAGGGGGCGCTTATCTTATCTCCACACTAAGTTGTATGGATCGATGTTAACTCCGCGAGGAATCCGAAAAGAATCGGCGTTCCCGCGGGGCGGTCATCGTATTCTTATCCGCTGTCAGGTGCCAAGTACTAACTTTGTTCAGAATAACCTCAAACACCAGCGCCGTCGTCTGACATGTGTTTGTTTTTGAAGTTTCCTGAGCTGTTCGAGGAGCCTATATACATAGTACACGTCCCTAAGTAAACTTACACGTAACCTTGACAACACCTCATCTCATGCCGACCAAAACAAGAAAAAGGTCACAGTACATCACACGTACAAATATGTACGGCGTGTGACGCACCAACCTATACGCGGATAAGTACCCAAGTAGGTACACAGTAGATGACCAAAAGTGCCCCGGCCCAGGGCGGTGGTAATTTTCGATTCCAAGGTTTCTTTCCAGTTTAACGCCAGGGACCGACCCTTCAGGGCTGAACTTGGTCCCCTTTTCGTGGTTAGTAATGCAAAAAAGCACGAGCCACCTGCCACAAATTGATCCCAGATCGGTTGACTGCACAAATCGAGACTGGACGTGCAGCCAAAGCGCTGCCCGGCGCCGGGAAGTCCAGCACCCGACTGCCGATGCATCTCACTGCCTGGAGCTTCCAATATTGTTCCATCAAGTCCACTACGCAGCACATGGTTTAGGTTTGCTGAACTGGCTGCCAAAAGATCCAATGGTGCCGTGATGCCGACTTTTTCTCCGTTTTATTTATTTTCCAATGGCTGATTAGCGCCGCCACGAGCGTCCAATACCACGTTCCGCCAGTTCAAGTTGGCAAACTCAGCGGGAGGAGAAGTGTGTTCAGTTTGGAGCCGCTTTTCAGCCTCTTACACTACACCCGACTACTCATTTTTTTCCATTGTGTCCACTCTGCTGCTGCTCGGTTTCGCTTTTTTACCGAAGTCCAGATTGCCCTGACGCCAAGATGCCAAGACGAGCCCCTACCCACCACTACCATTGCTGTGGTCACTGGTCACTGGTGAATAACAAGGGGCCGGAGGCGGTACAGGTACCGGATGGTCCCTCATCGATGGGTGACGGAATGCGGGAGTTCCATTTCCATTCATCGATGTCAGGCACCTCCAACTTCCAGGCCAAGAAGTCGGCGTCGTATTCTCTTGAGGTTGTTTCTGCTGCCTGTCGGTCTGACTGAACAGCACCAGACACAGTCAGCATTGAAGCTTCAGTTCCCTTCACATTCTGGACAGGTTTCTTCCAAGTCAGGATTCGTGGGGGAGCGGGAGTCACAGAATTGGACAAGCTGAAGAACGAAGAGAAAAGAGTGAGAGCGGCGCAGTAAGTGGAAGGTACCATTGGTACCCATTGTCCCAAGAGGCAGGCACCAATCCAGGCCGACAAATCATCGGAGACTTTCCCGACCATCGAGGTACTCGCGGCCTTTCACATTCTTTTCCTTTCCACTTCATTTCAACGCACTTTTACACTCTCACTCTGACTCTCAACGCTAACTTCAGTATTTCTCATCTTGGCTCAGCCTCTTTGTTACACTATCATCAGGTACATACTGGACTGATTGGGAATATGTTTATTTGCGTTTCTTGGACCTGATACTATCCCCACCACCCACCACCACATAGCTGTATTCTCGCTTCGGATCTGACCTCACCCGTTGGACTCTCTTTGCTCTCTTAGCGGGGTACATCTCCCATAGAGATGCTCGCACCATCTCTACTGCCAAACTATCGCGGCATCATCACCACCGGCACTCACCGACCCGGCAGCAGTCATGGACCCTTACCAAGACGTGCCCATGGCCCTTCGGCCCTCTGTCTCGGGGACGGATCCAGGGGTTCCAATGGCTTCTTCAGGGGCTGATGTATCCGCCCAATCAGCCCCTCCTCCACAACCAGCTCCAGTGTCTACAGCAGCTCAACCTCCGTCTCAGACTCAACAACCTCAAGTCTCAACGCCATCTCAGCCTTCATGGGGCCAAACGCCAGGCTCAGGAGAATCCCAATGGGACCAGTCTCCAGCCCAATTGGAGTCTCCATGGGATCAAGCCCCAAGTCAGCCTCCCTCTCATGATCAACCTCAGAATAGTCAACCTCAGCAACAACTGCGCCAAGCCAAGTCGCCCCGTATTCTCGCTTGCCAGCTATGTCAAGGAAGAAAGATCAGGTGCAATCGAGTGTTCCCCTGCGACAATTGCAAGAGGGTTGGCTGTCCCACATAACTCGACCATCTTGCAGAGGCATGCTAACCTTACCTCACAGTCCAATGTTCCATGCATACCCAGTAAACCGGCCCCCCTCAGGAAACGTCGGCCACCACACCAAGCGCTCCAGGAAAAGTTGGCTGCCGTGACGGAGAAGATGGAGCAAATGAGGCGTGAAATGGATGCTGCGAAAGCGAGTGGCCAGGGTCTGGCTATTCCCGCCACACCCGCACCCACCACTTCTTCTTGGGATTCTAAGGGAAACCCGAGACTGATCCAGGAGGAGGGCGGTGTCCGTTTCATGGATTCCTTGTTGGGCACCATGTACCAAGAGGTATGTTGTCATCTCTGCGTTTAGGTGTCTTCCGGCTTACCAACATATATACAGCTAGGGGAAATAAGAGCCATGGTGGACACTTCGCCAGACGATGGCTCAGATCTGATTCTTGGGGCCGACACTCCGACCTTTGATCCCATGTCTTCCTGGCCTCAACCCGGTGCTGTTTGGCAGCTCTGTGACATTTTCTTCCAGAGAGTCAACCCTTTAATGAAGATCATCCACAGACCGACACTGGAGAGATATGTCGCGGAAGCTTCTAGTGGACCGTTCGGGCTTCGTCCCAACATACGAGCCTTGTTCTTCTCCATCTTTCTAATGGCGATCGTGTCTTTGGATGCAGACGAGTGTGCGCAGCGGCTGGGCTACCACAGAGAGCAGGCTCTCCAAGATTTTGCTCAAGGTGCTCGTTTGACATTTGTACGAATGGGCTTCCTCAGCACGAACGACCTGACTACTCTCCAGGCATTTACTCTTTACTTGGTATTTCATCCCTCGAGACTCTGTTCATCGATTTTGGTGTCGCAATGCTGACGATTACAGACATCGCTCCAAGGCCGATCCAATCCTCACGCCACTTGGGTTTTGATTGGCACTGCTATACGCCTGGCTCGAAAGCTAGGTCTTCACGTCGATGGCAAACGATTAGGGTTGCCACCTCTCGAAACCGAGATGAGAAGACGGCTTTGGTGGCAGCTTGTTGTGCTCGACGCCAAAACCGCAACAATATCCGGCTTCAAGTCTGCGGCGGTTGTGCGAGACTGGTCCACCGAACTCCCCAGAAACCTTGAAGACACCGACATGCATCCCGACGCCAAAGAAGACTTTGTAGAACGCGACGGCCCTACCGAGATGATCTTCTGCCTCATGTCCTATAAAGCCACCGATTTCCTCCTCACCAGCGGGCAGGATTTTGAAGGTGTCATGATCGCGGCCGACCTCCCAGGCGGCCAAGCCCCTGGTTCCGACGACCAACGTCACCGCCGCACCGTCGAACAACTAGCGCTCGAGTTGTCGGCGTTTACGGACCGCTACCACTTGCACCCCGCCAACGGCCCGGTGCATGCCCTGGCCTTCAAGTTCAAGGAATTTTTCATCAAGAAACTCTGCAGTGCTAAACCTCAACCCCCTCCCACTTCTGATCAACAAGGCTTCAACGATGTCGACCGCGCTTTCAGGCTAGCTATCATCGACCTCGAGCACCACGAACTCAATATGCTCAACGACGACCCCGCCTTCTTCTGGTTTTCGCGCGTGTACTTCCAGCCATTCAACTTCATGTATGTCGTGTCGCAGCTGTGCCAATTCCAGTCCCCGTCCGCCAGTGATAAGCACATGGAGACAGCAAGCGCCAAGACCGACCTAATCGATCGCGCCTGGCGGCAAATCTCCTTCGTTTATCGACTCAATCCCGACCTATTCGACACGTCAAACCGGTTGTACTCACAAATCGCTCGCAAAGTCCTTGAAGCTTGGCAGAAAAGGTCCGAAGCGCTGCTTAGGCAGACGGGGACACGGCCACCTGCTCCGCCCTACGTTGAAAAGCTTGCGAACGTCCTGGGTAACAATAACATGAACAGCGGCTCTCTGGGAGCAACACGAACAGACACAGGGACAATACCAACGGCCACGACATTGGCCCCAACGGCAGGAACTGGGCTTGCCGGTGGTAATGACACGTCGTCGCTCATGCCCGGGCCTTCTGTTGGTACAGGTCCGGGTGCTGCTTCTGTCCCCACCACGCATGCACTGGGCCAAGGGCAAAGGCCAGAACCGCCGCCATTCATGGAAGGTGTCGTTAACTATATGGACCCGAACATGGCCTTTGCTGGAAATATGTGGGGAGATGATGGGTTTGGCGATCAATTTCAGCAGCCTCAGATGCCGATGATGGATATGATGGAGGATCCAACGACTGGTATGATGTACAGCGGTCCGCCTTATTATTATCCGGATACGGAAGGAGACGGGGAGCCGTCTAGGGGAATGTGGTAATGCGATGGGGTGGTGGTGAGGTGATAGCCATTGAGCCTCTACCCATCGTCGGTCGGCCTTTCGCCGTGTGTACGAATGTCGGAGCCAGGTTGTACGGCACGGTTCTCCATCAGCGTTGGAACATGATACCCTGGATTCCTCTTTCCTTTTTGTTCGCTTTAGTTTTAGCATCGCATCGCCCCTCAGCTTATTTGTAGTTTTTACCGGGGGACATCTTTTGGGGTCGGAGTTGTAGGGTATATGTAAAGATAATTATGTCCACTCACTCCGTATACCGCTTTGTTATAGGTAGACTTGGAAATAAATAGATCAAACAAGCATCAAGATGAATAAAACGGCGTAACATGTACTCTGGCGTGACCTTATCTGCGGTGACACCGTAGGTGAGAAAATAGTACACATGCTGTTACATCGGCTTCCTCATGTCATAGTAATTACTAACATACCTCAGGTGTCTTTCAGCCCAGAGAAGTAAAATGCCAATTGACTTGTACACAATTCTTGTTGCTAACTTCTCTTCTCTCTAGTATTGGCCCCCAACTTGACGGGATGAACCGGACGGGGGCTTGGGGTTCACAAGTGTTTGCTGCACGGCTTGCCCAGAATTCCGGGTCGGTGCTGCAGTCTTTTTGGCAGCGCCACATGAGCGCTTTGAACCGCTGCCGGGAAAACTGTCGCTCACACCAACTTGGTTCTCGTTTTTCTAGAGGCAGAAAACTGTTAGTGCAAGTACTCGGTGCTCTGGTACGTCCCGCACCTCCCGCCCTTTTGGTGTTTGGCCTTGCGTCATCCTCATTTTCCCAACTCCAAGTTCTTATAACCATTCGCACTTCTCACCTATTGTCTACGCGATTCGATTCTCATGACGGTGCGTTATAATTGATGAACAGGACTCCTTGGGAAAGCCTCTGGACACGAGGCGTGACACGAGTTCGTCTACAGCCAGCCGTATCAGCAGCGAACCGGTCAATTTGGCCTTCACAATTCGAGAGACGAAGAAATTCCAGCACATTCATAATGCCTCTATTCGACGCCGAAAGCTCTATCGCAACTCTGATAAAAAAAAAAAAAATAAAAAGCGGGTATCCTGTACTTAATCATCCCTCACTCTCCCTAAAACTTGGCGAGCTTCTTGAGCTCGCTCACATACCACGTCTAGAAAAGAACCAAGTCAGCATGACATACTCGGAAACACAATGAAGCAAAAGGGGTTGGAACGTGACGTACAATCTCAGCACCAGCACCAACAATGGACTTCATGCCCAACTTCTCAACGATCCAGTGCGGCTCAACCCTCTTCTTGTCCAACAAGCGGGCATCCGCATCCGGCACCTCCAGGTTGAGGATCAAGTTGGCGGGAAGCGAAGGGTTGATGATGGCCGGGCGTCCGATACCGATCATGTCGCAATCATCGGCTTCCAAAGCGGCCTCCATGCCCTGACGGGTGCGGAAGCCACCGGTGACCATGAGAGGAAGCTTGGGGAACTTGGTGCGGATGATCTTGGCGAACTCGAGGAAGAAGGCCTCGCGGGCCTTGGTGCGTTCGGACTTTTCGGGCTTGGGACCGTTGGCCATCTGTATGGTGTTAGCATTTGTTCCGTGCCCCTTTTGTTTACGACAGACAATCCCTTCCCCCATCCCTCAAACACCAAAACTTACCTGAGGATCCTCATAACTGCCACCGCTAACCTCCACAAAGTCGATCCCCCACTGCTCAAAAAGCTCAATCTGCTTCAACACCTCCTCCGCCGTATCCGTCTCCTCCTCCTTTCCATCGCGTCCCGCCTGCCAATCCGCACTGTTCAACTTGATTCCCACCACAAACTTCTTCGCCTCCTCTTCACCCACAGCCTCAGCCACCTGCCTCCTGCACTCCTTGATAATCTCCCCAACAATCCTCGCCCTGTTCTCAGCCGAACCGCCATACTCATCCCCGCGCCTGTTCGTCTTCTTGCTCAGGAACTGCGCCAACAGATACCCATGCGCCGCATGGATCTCCACGCCATTGAACCCGGCCTCGGCCGTGATCCTCGCAGTCACCGCAAACTTGTGCACAATGTCCTTAATTTCAACGACCGTCAACTCCCGCGGCGTGCCGAAGAGCACTTTCGACAACAAGCGGGGCACGAATCCCTCTCCCAAGACCAACGGCACCGGCGAGGGCGCCACCGCCTTCTCCAACAGTCCCCTCGTGCCCGCGCCCATCGGACTCTGGCGACCAGGGTGGTTGATCTGCACGACCACAGGCGTCTTGGACTGTCCGTTCAGGCGCGCAGCGTCCGCCCAGGCCTTGAAGGCCGTAACGGTCTGCTCGGGCGTGGTGCCGGGGTGGTTGGGGCTGATGTCGTGGGCGTCGCCCTTGTGCGCGTGGTCGACTTGGACATTGCCGGTGAGGATCAGGCCCCAGTCGCCGCGGGCCCAGGTGGCGTAGACGGCGGAGAGTTCGGGGTTGGGGAGGTGGTTGCCGAAGCCCATTTGTTCGGCCATGGCGGCTTTGACGAGGCGGTTGGGGAGGGTGAGGCCATTGGGGAGGGTGAGGGGTTGGGCGAGTTTGAGGTCGGAGGTGGAGGAAGCCATTTTGGTGGTGGTGTTTTGGGATCTTGGTGATCCTTTACTGCGTCTAAATCTTGGGTTGGTGTTTAGGTAGGTATGATAGGTGAGGTTTTAACGGTGTGAAGTCGGGAAAAAAAAAGTGATGGTATGTTGGACTTGACTGGAGAAGAATGAATGGAGGACTCAAAATGAGGGCTCCTTTATTCACATGAAAACTGTTTTCCATCTGTTTTATATCATTCCTGACATGGACTATCTACCTCTACTCATGGTACCTACTATTGATGATTACCTACCTACTTACCTCAATGTACCGAGGAAGTAGATGGATACCCTTGTCCAACGCTTATTAATGCTTTTCATGGCAGATTCCGGTTTCCACCCCTTACTACCGAACTGAATTGAATTGAAAGCTGGATCCACTCCACCGAAACTTCAACCAATTCCCTCCGGAGATAGCGGGTAAAAATCCTTTTTTTTCAGTCGGTCGGTCGGTCGGTCGACCGGCCGCCGCCCGTGCTTGACTTGACTTGGTTGGGTTTAGTTTGGGGAGTTTGGGGGGAGTGACGAGCATGGGTCAAGCCTGGAAGATGCTGGAAGTCTGGAACACACCACACCTCCTACACTACACTAGTGTAAGAAGCATAACGCCGTAGCGCAACTCCTGCGATCGTGAAAATCATTTTTTCAAGGGTTTGTAGGTTCTTGAGGTCGGTCTGGTAGATACCTATCTCTCTCTCTCTCTCGTGATCTCGTCCAGAAAGGCCGAGGCACATTACATTACCTCAAATTCTCAAAAGAGGCAATGTCATGGATTTTTTTTTTTTTTTTTTTGAATTTTTTCCCACCACTGCAGTACATACACTACTGTGAATAACATGTTACATACCCCTGTCGATGATCTCCCGCCAGCGAGTCGGCGAGACGGCGACCGGGCTAACTATGTGAGGTCTCCGACCCATTATGACCAAAAAGTCTCCGGTGCAATCAGAAGTGATGGTTAATTTCGTTTTTGGGCAGTAGGTGGCACGTTATCGGACAACGCTTATCAATGCATTTGTTATGGACCTTGTTACATGTAGACCTGGGATCAGAATATCAGAATCTTATAATTGACCTGGTGGTCAATTTGGGTTCATGTAAGTTTTGGGTCGTGTAGTGTAAGCGAGCGAGGGTGCTTTTCATGAACGTAAGTACTTTCGTGTCTTCAAAGCAGATACATACCTCTATGTATCAGATTGTTCATGTATCTTATCTTTCTCTTCATTGAAGTCAAGGCTCGTACGACAAAGAATGAACGCTCCTTTTACAAGGCTACGTGATGATGCCATGATAGTACCAAATTAGGTAGGTAGGCAGGCTCGGTAGGATCTGGATTACCAACCAGCGTGGGATCATAATTCAGGGGTTTTGTTTACAAACGCGTTTGGACCCTGTCATCTCGTGGGAGGGTAGGTAGTAAGCATGTGAACAAGATAGGTAAGGGTAATGATAAGGCTGCAGGCAGTGTAATGGGTTGGGGTTTGCAATTTCGGGATACAGTATCGATGAAGACCGTGTTGTCGTTACCCAGAAAGTCAAACGTCATCAGAAGAAAGAAAGAAGGTGGTAGAATAAGAGTTGGTGACTTAGCCAGTATGTTCACTTGGTCGAAAAAAAAAGTGACATTACATAGAAAGAGCAGTAGTAGTTCAAAACATCCGAGTGAATACAAGAAAAGATAAAAAGAAACGAATAGCAAGGAGAGCAAGAATGAAACTTGTTTCGGTTTCGCATAGAACAGAGGATGAAGAAAAGCCAAAAGGAAAGAAAGCATGCACAGGAAAGAAAAAGAGAAAGAGAAGGAAAATTCGAAAAAAAAAGAATGGGGCCACCCGGGGATTGAACCCGGGACCTCTCGCAAGAATGCTCAGGATTGAACCCTAAGCGAGAATCATACCACTAGACCAGCGGCCCGTATTAATTGTTGATTGGCGGTTGCTGAGTATAAACCTATAATCCTCAGCTGAAAATGACCAGCGTGGGGCGGTGGGTGGTCATGGTGACGGCGGTATACCGGCGGTAGTCATTGCGAGCTAGGTAGTCGATTCCACTGGATGGATACTATAGATTAGTATCACAATAATGCATCTGACTTTTCATTAGGTATCCTAGGTAAGAATCCTATTTGGAATGGCTATCTAAATCGTGAAGAAATTGCTGAGCGAGAATAGCAAAGAGGTTGTGGTACGGGGATGTTCTGTTGGTTTAGCATGGTGCCAGAGATGGTCGGTGCGGTTGACGCGCATGGGTGTCACTCCTTGATACCTCTCTCTACCTAGAGTAGGTATCTTTCTCTGACACCATCTACCGGAACACAATAACCATCCTTCCAGATATACCTACCTTACTTTCCTGCGAGAAATTCAAGTCATGCGCATAGTGAAGCTCATCACTTTGGAAAGAGATGTAGGTATCTATGTTTCATCGTTTTTCCTCTCAAGCTACCTAGGTAGCATTGCGCTAGGATACCCAAGGGGTTCCTCCCCATCGTCCTACGTACGTTTTTACGTCTTGTCTCCTATATTGGAACTCCTTCCTTGTCTTGCTTGCATGGTCTGTTGACTCCTTGCTTAGATCGAACACACCAACAAATAAACAAATAAAACACGGGCAGCTAAAGATCTTACAAAACTTCCATTTTACCTTTTTCTTTTCGCTACATTCTTCCCCCCATTCCCTCTAGAGCTGCTATCCAAAGTCTCACTACCTACTGCTAATCTCGTACCTCACCAAAATTACTGCCTCATTGCCACAAACTCATCCCATCCATCCCATTCAAGGAACCCATCCTACCCATCATCCCCTGCTGATAAGCGTCAAGGTCCAAGCTAGGATAGATTCCCAATCCCCCCTCGTGCATCCCCTTCTGCGTCTGCTGCTGCTGCTGCTGCTGTATGCTCGCTGCTGTCCCATTGTTGATACCTAGAAAATCGTCGTACCCGTGATGATGGCCGTGCAGCGGCAATTCAATACAACTGAAACCAGCAGTCGCTTCTGGTGGTGCCAAGAACTGGTGCAAATCAAAGTACTCATACTCATACTCGTCGTACTCATGCGTAGAGGCAGTCAATGACGGGGTGCTCACTAACGAACTCGCTCCCGATGAGCTTATTGGCGGGACGACGAGCAGGGTATTGTTGGGAGAGGAAGAGGAGGAGGAGGAGGAGGAGGAGGAGGGAGTGGGCGCTGGATGACAGGGAGGCGGCCATGAGGCGTAGATACTGGTACCCGTCCCTGTCCCTGTTACGGACATGGACATGGACATGGTGGACTCCTCCTCCATGTCTGGATCGGAGAGGGGGGACATGGAGAGTGAGGTACCGGAGATGATGTTGGGGGAGTAACAGGTCATGATACCCAGGCCGCCGAGATCCGGGAGCTTACAGCTGGTAGGCTGTCGGCTCTGTTGCTGTTGCTGCTGTTGCTGAAGTTGCTGTTGCTGTTGCAAAGCGGTAGTAAACTCCCCAATGAGCATCTCAGCAGTGACGACGCCCACTTCCATCAGTGCTGGTGCCACATCCACATTTAAGCTATTGCTATCGTTTTGTTGATGTGCAGCAAGCGTCACGTTAAGAGTAACAGCCAGAATGAGACTGGTCTTGGCGGCCACCGGTCCCAAATGGAACTTGGCTTTCCACATCCCTGACAAGAACCCCAATGCATCCGTCAGGATCTGCTGGAAGACGTGCATGTGCACCATCGTCGTGCTTTGCTGCGGGTGAGGGGACATGGAAGAATTGAGTCCCCTTAGTCGGGAGACGGTCCAGCAAGCTGCTAGTACGGCACGACAGGCGTTTGTCCAGAGGAGGTGGCATGCTATGTCTGCTGCTGGGATTGGGCATGACGGCTGGCAGAGGGATCGAAACTCGTGAAAGACGGAGGTGGAATAGTCCCATATCTCCATTAGCGACGGCCGCTGCGTGCTGTGAGGCGGGCAGCCGAGGGTGGAGGCCAGGTTGATGATGGAGAGGAAGCCGTGGAAGGTGATGGAGAGGATGGATTGCTGGAGAGAATGGATGGGGTCTATCGAGCTTGGTCGAGGTGAGCCAGAGCCAGGGCCACGTTGAAGCTCTGCAGGGAGGGAAGCAATGATGTCCTCGTACGCCGCCCTGAGCTCGTTCTGCAACTGGCAGGGGTCCGAGGCTTCCCCGGCTTTGGATGAATAAAGAGCTTGTTGCATGGGTCCAACGACGTTGGCTAATCGCGCGGCTGCGATCCCAAAGTCCAGATCTGCTCTAGCCTGCTCATCCGGTTCGCATCCAAGTATGGTGGTAGTCGAGTCCGTCGGGGCTCGAAGACCGGCGGTGGTTGGCAGGGGACAGTCGCTTTCTTCCAGACGGAGAGTGAATTGTGTCCCGCTCCTCACGCAATAATCCAGATTCAACCTGACAAAGGTCGCCCATAGCCTCTTTCTCACCTCCGCGTGGTAAGGACTGACATCCGCAAACAGCGCAGGATCCCGATGCAAACCCATGTTCAACACGATCTGCGTCGTGATGCCGTGCAGACCCATCAAGTCATAGATCTTATCCGTGTCCGAGGCGGAGATCGTTTTCAGGACAATGAGGAGGAGATGCACCTGCACGACGCCGATGCAGGGTTTTTGGAACCGACTGGAAGAGTGGAGGAAGATCTCGACTTGGCGGGCTAAACTCCTACCGTACAGGCGGTCAGAGGAAGAGGAGGGTTGCATGGCGATGGCCATGGCTAGCAGAACCTTAGAGACATGAATAGGGTGGGAGAGGGTGCCGGTGTAAATGCGGTCCACGTCTGTGCCAAGGGCTTTGGGGTCGAGGATCGAGTAGATACGGCCGTACGTGGCTTGGTATTGGGCGCACCACCGGTTACAGGTGGGCCGGTCAGGAAGGAGGAGTTTGAGGTCGGTGTCGCTCGTCAGAGTTGGGAGAGACGGGGGGACAGAGTTGTGCAAGCGGAGCATGGTTTTGAGCTCACGGAAGGTTTTGCGACACGGATTGAAGGGCTCGGAGTGGTCGAGCATGGCGCGGACGACGTCCATTTCGTTGCAGGGAGCCATCCAGTGGCTAAGCCCGATCATGCGGGTTTTGCTGGCTGATGATGTTTGGAAACGAGGGCTTCGGGGACTTGGTAGTGGTGATGGCTGCCGGGAGAAGGGGGAGAGTGCTCGGTCGATGCTGAGCATTCGCTCGGGTGTCTCCCAGCTGCTTGAGGAGGAGCAGCTCTCGGAAGGAGTATATGTCTGGAAGGGCGGGACCACCTCGATGGAGGGCGTCTGAGGAGGACTTTTACTGGGAGACTTTGTAGCCTTTGTCTGGTTGGCACGAGGACTAGGAGCAGCATGTTGATCATTACGGTCCTTGTGGCTGCTATAGACACAATTTGAAGCATGTCCGCGGTCTTTGCATGGCTTGCATGGTGTTTCTCGATCGCAACGAATCTTGCGAGCCCGGCATTGTTCACATGAAACGGCTTCTCTGACTCTGGGTCGTTTCCTTCCGCGTCCGACATCTCTCTCAAAGGTTGCGGCAGTGAGGTGACTGAAAGTGAGGGCCATTGTGGTGGTTCCACGCTGCTTAGGCGAAGGAACTCGATGTGTCTTGAGGTTGGATGACGATGTCATTTTCAGGGCGTTTCTGTGAGCTCGGTAGATGAAGAACGGAGATGGACGTCATTCCGGAGAGGGGGGTAGGGAGCCAAAGCTAGGGTTATATCATCATGGGCACCTCGATGGCCAGACTCCGAGGAGACACGGATGGTACACCATCAATGATCCCCAGATCTTTGCATACCGCTGTTTCAACGTAGAAGCTTCAAGGAAGGAAGCTCCAAGCTGTGACACTATGTGCACTGCCATCGTCACTGCAGAGAGGGCGTAACTTGTAGCCCGAGAGATGACATTTAGAAAGGTTACTCGGCGAATGACGTGACACTGGGTTCGGTATAGTCTGTTTGGGACAGGCGGAGGTTGCAACCATTCATCAAGTCACTGACTTGAAACCCTATGTTGAAAGCCACAATGTGCCGTCTTCGTAGTCGCTTGTGTTCATGACCGGGAAGACCCAATCAGTGCCAGCTATCGTTCCTTTGGCCGTCATAACAGTTTCTGACGTTACCATGTTGTATACGGCTGTGCACTGCATATAGCCTTGCTGCACGGCGGGACAAAAATGTTGTCTGGGATGGACCATGATTCGCTTGAGACCATGTGGCTCGGGGCTGTGCCCCTCTTCCCGAAGCTCTCGTGAAGCTGTTGTCCCCTTCAGCAGCTCATCGGTTGGGCTTGAAGACGCAACGCTGATTGGTCCTGGAGAGCTCTCCTTATGTTACACTACCATCAATCCATAGGGGACCTGACGAGCTTTCTGCGGCACGTCAGATTGGCGGGCTCGGCAGTTTACGTTACATCAGGTGTGTATGTGTGCGGTGTGTGGTGTGTTTGTGTCGTTGATTTGGGAGTCGAGAGCGTCTGATATGGCTTCGGTTAGTAAACTGCGATGATCCTGGGGAAATGGTAATGCTTCGCGAGGCATCTCTTGCGCATCGAACCGTTATGAGACAGACTGATATCAAGACATTCAATATTGCTGTTCGGATGTGATGGCCTGATTTTTGAATTGTCCAGAATCTAGACATTAGCTAGCACTGTAGAGAAGACGGTTGACGTTGTCAGTTTCTCGACAACGTTACAGTTGGGGTGAGGTGACGATACCATAGACCGCACCGGCGGGTTGACCGCACGCGCCGTAGCCATGCATCCAAGCCAAGGAATAAGCCGTAGTCAGCACTGAATCTTCCAGCCGTTCAACACTGGACGGGATAGAGTTGATGACATGTGCTTTGAACAAATGAACGACGAGCCATTCCGTTAGCAGTCGTAAAGTGCATTGTGGCCTCACCAACTTGCGGTGAAAAATCCCTTTTCCTCATTCCATTTTATTTTTTTTTTTATTTTTTTTTTTTTATTTTTTTTTTTTTTTTGATCCGAAAGGTTGCATACGTACGAGGACGGCCAGCAGAGGTAGGCTATGGCTCACCTGATGAAGCTCTTGGTTGTGTCACAGCAAAGGTCCACGGCACAAACAAGAAGCACACAACGGAACTGGTGGATCGTGGCATCGTGGGGTTCTTCCTCAGCCTACCTTGCCGTATCTCAGCATCGCGGTCCCTTTGATAATCAGGGGAGAGACATGGGCAGACGTTCTAGACCACGGTCGATATCTCTGATAGTCTGACTATCCCGACCCCTGGTTCTGATGTGGCGGGAGGATATTGCGTTTGCCTGTCTTGTAGTTGTAATGTGTTTAATGCCTCTGGGACATTTGAGGCGAGCTTCTCCGTTGTCGCCGTCAAACTGCGACTCTGCCGTGAACAAGTGTCGGTGCACTACCCCGAACGACTATCCGTCCCTTCCAGACCCGGGACGTCATCATACGATGTCAGCCACCTGTGATATCGTGGAGTCTCATGGAGACACATCTGACCTTTCTCCTCACGTCACACAACAGCTACCCTCACCATCTATGGGCGCTCATTGCACGGAATTCGAGGACTAGCGTCGGGGTAAGCTCCGGTGCAATGGGCATTGAGGTATTCTAGTGTAGCCAAGAGGGTTTCTTCCCTGCGCCTTCGCTAGAGGCATGTTCCTGATAGGGCTGAGAATGTGCCTCCCGAAGGCCTCAAGGTCCGATTGACATGGGTGTCGTTGAAGCCGACGGAAGACGGCGATTTGGTTCGGGACTGGCCGCTCAAAAAGGTATCCAGGAATGGCTGGTAACGTGACGAGCCGAGTTATGTAATTGATACTGGCAGATATTCTGGGATGAGGCTCAAGATTGACCAGATGCTCAAGCACGGCGTAGGCATCTGATATGTAACCACGGCGACGATGACACGGCCGGCGTCCCCATATATCGCAGGTGCCTCTCCCCCACAGCCGTCCGAAGCCCAGCCATATACCATACCTGGTGCTGAACATTTCTCAAAGCATGATTGATGAAGGTCGCCTTACGCTGTCGCTCGCAATTGCCAAGATGCTCCCGCGAAGACTGCTGTGGCGCGCCTGGCACACAAAGGCTTTGATGTCTTGCTCAACCGTGTCTATGTTCAAAACAATGGGGAAGTACGTGCGTTGGCGGTTGTGCTCATTGTTGGTTCCTCTTTCTTGACTGTTTGTCAGTTGGCAGCTGTCAAAGACACCAAACGCGTGATGGGAGCCGGTGCTTCACAAAGAGGACTTAGCAATGAGACGGCGCGTCTGTCGAGTGGGCGAGACAATCATTTAAATTGAGTTGAAGATATCGATGGCCTGTAAAACACTGATATGGGCGTCTGGGAAGGTGAAGATTGGAAGGGAATGACTGGTCGTCGTTGTTTCTTCAAAGTTTGGACGACAGCGGGAAGCTATGGGGGGTCTGGGGGGTTCTGGGGGGTCTCCACTTCAAGCGCTGAGGCCAGGGTGCAGGTGGGGCCTGGTTTGAGCGGTGCGCTTGTCTGGTCGAATCGCTGACAGAAACAAAGTCAAGAGAAACAATCGACGAACGACATCCACTGAGTCCAGATTCACCACGCGCTTCTTCAAACACCACCATGTCAGGAGCCTCGTCGAATCATAGGTTTACATCTCAATGGCATCCCCCCATGTCCTTAACGCGGGAGAATCCCTACAAGGCGATCGTGTTCACTGCCGCCCGTGATGGAGGCGCGTGAATGATCCGCATACCCTGAAAGCCAGCCGTTGCTGAGTTGTTCACACCAAACTGACCATGTCCAAACTTCATGACAGACGGTTCACGGTTGGGAACTACCCAGAGCAACGGGATGAACAGTAGTAGCACGGTATCAGTGACCCACAATGGCGCATAACCCTTCCCGTCAGATGGCCCATGACCACGGGAAGTAAAGGCATTGTATATATCAGAGACGTCAAGTGCCTTTCCCATTATCTCATGCCGGTTCACAGAACAACTGCCAACGCATCGTTTGTTGGGTCAACCATTTTGCCCTTTCTATTTCCCTTTCTTTTGTGTTTGGGTTTTCCTATTTCTCTAGCGCTCTGGTCATACATCGTCCTTCGTCCTTGAGCATCATCTTCCAAGGAGTTCCGGGTTCAGCTCTCTTCGACTTTCTCTTTTCAACAGCAAAACATCAAATAATTCAAGTGTTGCTGGTCAACATCACCGTATTATCTTTCAACGCTGCAGCTCTCCATCTCGTTCTCACTCACTCCTCGATAACTGGCTTGTCGGTCACTTTCCACGGCATCGAGACCACATCCACCTAATCTTCTACTATTGAACTATTCTTTTTTTTTTTTTTTCGACCACATTCAATACCGGCAAGATGGGTAAATTCGCCGGTAATCTAGCCAGAGCTGGAGCAGAAAAGGCAGTTGCTATACAATGCGGTCGTAAGTCTTTCTATCTCTCCCCTTCATTCACGATACAATAAACTGACCAGCCCCGTCTTTCACAGCCTGGTTCAAATTCATCAAACTCGCCCCTCTAACCTTCATCATCCCCACCATCCTCTTCCTCATTCTCTCCCTCGCCGGCTGTCTCTCCTCGGCACCCACCATCCCCTCCCTTTACGTCGTCGCCCTGACCTCCTCCTCCAACGGCACGCTTGCGCCCATGCAAGTCCGCCTCGGCTACTTTGGCATGTGCGGCGACGACGGCGACACGCGCACCTGCCTGTCTGCCGCCGGCCACTTCGACCCGGACGAGCCGCAGGACATCATCCACCTTACCGAGCTCTTGTTCCCCCAAGTCATGAACAACAGCAACGCCCGCGGCGCCATTCCGGAGCTGCAGAACATGGTCTTGACGGGGCTGGATCTGCAGGACCAGATCTTCGGCAAGGTGCTCCTCACGGGCTCGGCGCTGTTTGCCCTGGGCTTGGTCCTCATGTTCCCCCTGAAGCTGGTCAAGAAGAAGCTGGCCAAGTTGGCGCCCGGGACTCCGCTCACCAAGAAACAGCAGTTTATCAGAAGGGGGTGTTACTCGACTATCTGGGCTGGGCTGATGATTGTTTTTGCCGCTTGCATCGGGACAACCGAGACCGCGGGCGCGCTGGGACATGCGACGGCGCATATCAAGGGGTCGAGCATCCTGATGAAGGAGGGCGTGACGCTGCAGGTGCTGCAGTGGATGGCGTTTGGGTTCATGTTCCTGTTCGTCTTGACCATGCCGATTATGTTGTTCGTCAAGAGGGAGAATCCCCTGGATCAGTACATGAGTGCCGAGGGCATCAAGGAGAAGGCCTTTGGGTTTGCTAAGGGGTATGCGATGGATAAGGTGGAGAAGCCAAAGAGGGCCAAGTTCTTTGGAAGGCAGAAGTCCCAGCAGGAGGATATGGTGTGAGCTGGCTGGCTGACTGGCTGACTGACCGTGAATGGAAGGGGAGAGAAGGGGTGGTACGGTAAAAAGGGGGAAAGATATCTATCTGATCTGTGAACGATAGAAGGGAGGCGGTTTGCGGTGATCTGGTTCATATATCAAGGCGTTTTTTGGGTGTCTTTTTTTTTTGCGGGATTCGGTGGGAGGGAATGAAAGATCAACGATATACCATCGCAAAGAATGCTCAGCACTGAATTTCGGGGAGTTATCTGGATAGAGCAGACTACAAGACCTTCTTTAATGGTAAAATACCAAGACCACCTAACTGGCGGCAATCCACGCCATGTTTTCCCTGATTTCTGATGATGACGGGGAAATGCAGTGAAGATGCAACGAAGGTACCTGCGAAGATAGGCACTATTCAGCAGATTATTGGATACTGCTCCTATCCTCCATCTCGAGAGATTATGGCGATCCGGGGACCGCTCCAAACACGAGGCGGCATGGTAACACCAATTGCCTTGATTGGGGATCCATTCACTACTACTATCTCACGAACCTCATTGGATCGGCTTGCTCCATTCTCACCTGCATAAGCTCGCCATCCATGGAATTCGCCAGCACAGCAAGCATGGCGAGCGAGCGAGCGCAAAGTAAAAAGGTAGGTAGTACCTGTGACGTTGTTTCAGCTCAACAACGGGAATAGTTCCGAGGCCAGGATTAAAACCGGGGTTAGCTTCCAACTTTAACTTCATCTTCAACTTCAACCATATCTCAGCATCACCGGCCACCACGAAACTCACTGGTTCACTGAAGCCTACTGCAAAAGAAAACAAACTTCGCATCATCAAACTCACCTTCACAAGCAATACACCTAGGAGACTTGGGCCATCAAGGTCAACAGCCCACCATGTCCGCCTCTACCAATATAACCTCCACAGCCCTCGGCATCAAAGTCATGTCCTTCCTCACCTCCATCTTGGCAGTCGGCATCGAAGCCTACGCCAAACTCACGGGGAAAAGCGAAGATACAGAGGACCATTCATGGCAGAAGCCTGGACCTGACGACCGTAGGAAACCACTTTCCCCCCTTCCTTCCTTCCTTTTCTTCTCTTTTCCTCCCTTTTTTCCCCCTTCCTTTTTCCTCTTTTTCCTCCTTTTTTCCTCCTTTTTTTTTTTTTTTTTTTTTTTTGTTTTTCCTTTCCACGCTCCGCTCGACCATCCTCCAATAGCGCTAACAAAAAAAAATTAATGCAGGCCGCTCCCCCTGCCCAATGCTCAACGCCCTCGCCAACCACGGCTACCTCCCGCACTCGGGGCGCGACATCTCCCTCGCCCAACTCATGCACGGTCTACAACGAGGCCTCAACCTCTCCCCCAACGCGACCTTGATCGTCGGCATCAAAGCCCTCCAAGCCAGCACCACCGGCCACTGGACGACCTTCCACCTATCCGACCTCAACCAGCACGGCGTCATCGAACATGATGGGTCCCTTTCCCGCGCGGACTTGTCGGCCCCGCCCAACTTTGATAACCATACGTTTGTCCCGGAGATATGGGCCGCTACGCTGCAGGTACTGGGTGATGAGGAGAGGATTAGTATCGAGAAGGCGGCGAGGATGCGCGGTTGGAGAATTGAAGAGGGGCCGAAAGGGAATCCCAATTTCAGGATGAGTAAGGAGGATAAGAGGTTTAGTGCGATTGAGACGGCGTTGTATTTGAGGGTGTTTGGAAGGGGGACCGAGGGCGGGGCGGAGACGAGGTGGGTGAGGGTTTTGTTTGGTGAGTTTCTTTCTTTTTATTTTTTTTCTTGGTTTTCTAGATGACGGTTGATGGAATCATGGGAACTTGGACAATGAAAGGAGTGGGGGATGATAGTGGGAGATGGTGGATGGGAAGGAGATTTTGTAGTAGTGATGCGGGGGGTGAAACTCACAGCAGGGCGCTTGCGGCTGTGTGCTTTGGTGCAGTGGAACACAACGCTAACAAATTAAACAGAGGAAGAACGACTCCCGATCGAAGAGGGATTCAAGAGGTCCGAAAAACCGTTGACGATTGCCGAGGTTTTGGAGTTACAGAGGAAGGTTGAGGCTGTTGGCGCTACTCCTGACCCAAAGTGAGTGTGAAGGACGGCTTGGTGATGAAAAATCGGTGTTCATCTTGTGGTTCATCAATTGTTGGGAGAAAGGAACTGCAGTGCGGCGTTTCATGTTGTTTGTCCATCGTTCAACTGCCGCGGTAATGGATGGAGGATACATGCAAAAATTGGAGGAAAAACACGAATGACAATTAATGAAACCAGAATCTGGCATGAAAGAAAAACGCAACAAAAAAGACAAGGAGCAATTGGCGATTGTTGAAACATCACAAATGACAGAGGCAAAAATCGCAAAAAGATATTGAGACTCGGATACCGGGAGTCGAACCCGGGGCTGTTGAGAGAGCAGTCACTCCTGAGAAGTGAGAGTCAACGATGTTACCGCTACACCATACCCGATTGAACTGATATGGTCCGATGTTGTTGAATGTGGGTCCAAAGCATCTTACTATATAGGGCGACTTACTCTGGAATGCCTGAGGGAAATTGTCTCCTTTTTCAAATCATCAGCTTGGGAAGCATCATAACAGTCACTTTCAAGTAAAACGAATTCGGGAGTGGGAAGACTTGATTCATTATTACGGGCGCCTAAAAGTGACGTTCCCAACTTACGAGTACGACATACTTGAACCTTGTATGCCACATCAGTTGTTCCAACTCACTCGCAGCCCACGACCATGATCTTCCAACAGCCATTCGTACTTACCTACCTCCTCAAACGAGGTCAGTCCTACAACCACTTACCTCACCCATCAACAAAACCTCATCCCCTCAAACTCCCTCCTCAAAACCTCCACATTCTCCACACTCCCAAACCGATCCTCAACCCTCAATCTCTCCATCTCCCCAACCAGTCTCCCCTCCTCCATCCTCTCCTCCCTCTCCATCCTCTCCAACCGTTCCCTCTCCCTCCTCTCCTTCCCCCTCCACATCTCCCTCACCGCCCACCCCTCCGTCTCCTCCCCAGCCTCCCTCCTCTCCCGCTCAAACCGTCTCGTACAAACCGGGCACATACTCTCTCCCTGAATCACACAAACCGACACCACCTCCTGCCCTAAGCGGGTAACGTCACTACGTCGGCCATACGTGTTGTAAGGACAGTCGCCACAGTCGACGCGGGGAGAGTGTCGACCGCAGCAGTGAGCGGTGGCTGAGTCGAAATAATAGGACCAGGCGGGGATACGTCCGCCGTTAAGGGTGGTGAGGCGGTAAGCAGGGCAGCGGGGGTCGCCGGCGAGGGCGGAGGGGCAGAAGTGGGAGATTATGCGGCCTTGACACATTTTGGTGGTATGGTTATCTTGGGATGGATAAGGTTTACCTTGGGATGTCTGATGGCGGTTGGGAGTAGTGGTTTGTTAGTTGTGGGATGGGGTGGTTACCTTGGTTTTTGGAGTGCTCTTTTTCTCGTAAAAGCTTATTTGATGCCTTGTTGATTCAAAGACTTTTTGTTGTCGTGATGATGAGCGAGATCATTTCGAATTCTGGAATTGGGGTGACGGGGTTATTGAGTATTTATGCTTGTGTTAAAGTCACGCTGTGGGGGTTGACAACTAGACTGTTCAGGATACTGAAATGAAGCAATGATTGTTGTGTCCGAATCAGGAGAGAACACTCCCGGCGAAAGGGAACCTGTGAAGGGCATTGTTCGGCATTTTGCGTCATTCCGCCGGAAGAATGAGAGTAAACTCTTTACGAGACATTGATCATGGATATGTCCCTGACAAGGTCTGAACAATGGGGACACATCATATTGCCGTAACTTGATTATGTTGATAGCCCACGGGAATTTGAGGAACAGGGAGACAAGAACTGTCGTGAGGATCAAAAAGACATTGTTCTGGAGGCCTTTGTTCGCGGCACGTTGATGAACTACCGTGGTCAATGAAGTGTGAATCCGTACCCGCGGCGCACTGAACCATGATTAAAAGAATCTGTCCAATGACCGTTGCCCGCGGTGCAGAATTGAGATTCAAGACTTCAAGATCTGGAAGTTCCGTGCCTTCCCATCTCACAGCAATGACAATTGGATGAACAGGGAATCGATCTTAAAACCCCACTAATTCCCTTGTCCAGTTAGACGTGCCTTGCAGTGTGGGGCAGCTGCTCCTCCACCGCCTGCCTTAAGCGACAGCAGCGCACAGACCACTCCATCTTTTGTTGCAGTTTCTTTTCCATCGTCGGCGCGGCAACGTCGAAAATTATCGAAAGGCAGCAGATTGAATCTGACAACTCTCACGACCACCTCACCTTCTCCATCCCACATTACCACACACATCTTCCAGCTCGCCAGACTACAACCCGCCAGCTCAGACCAAACCGCCAAAATGCATTTGATGTACGTCCCCGCCAAGAACGCCGACGGCAAGCCGCTCGCGCGCCAGTACACCCTCAAGAAGGTCCTCGACGGTCAGGTCACCAAGAGCGCCCACCCCGCTCGCTTCTCTCCCGACGACAAGTGGTCTCGTCACCGCATCACTCTCCGCCGCCGTTTTGCGGTCCTTCTCGCCCAGAGTATGTATTTTTCCACCCACTCAATTGCCAGTGAAATGGAGTTGAGCAGCGGCTGACGTTCCCTTTTTTTCCGCTGCGAACAGAGGCTCTCAACAAGACCACCGAGTAGAGTGACCGTGGCCAGCGGGATCCATTGACCGAAATCAAGACTAAGTTCCATGTCAATGCCGCCACCCGTCTTTTGTTCGCGTCCGGCGCGAGACTCGTCGCCCCGGACGATGTCGACACCCACAACAACCTTGTTAAGATGATGGAAGACGAAAAAGACAATTTCAGGAGAAAAACCGACAACTACAAGTTCAACGTCAAGGCCGCCGTCTTCTCCTATATGTTGGACCAACACATGCTCAAGCAGGAGAACAATTTCGACAAGAAGATCAAGGCCATGCTCGAGGCCAATCACCCGGACGAGTACTATCTGGACCAGTACTACAAGATGGTCAAGAACATGGAGAACTAAGCCGTTTTCAACAAAAAGGACGGCAACGCTCGCGGTAGCTACATGAAGTAGTTGACCAACAACCTTCTCTTCTTGTCCGCCTATCTGCTGTGCTCGACCAGTTTGTTCTTGCTTCCACGACCACGACCTCGTTTTTGGCCGCTGCTCTCCTGCAGCGTTAGCATTTTATTATCCCGTTGGATCTTCAATCGAACCGATCGTTGGCAGACGGTTTTCTTCCCTACTTGCAACAATTTGGAAGTGGAAATTGGCAATCCACGACGACCGGGGGGCTTACTTTGGTTTCAGATAATGACACACAAGACAATGATGGCAACCGACAGCAGCAGCGGCGGGATGGCAACCGACTGACTGAACTGGCTTGTTTCGGATTCTCTGGATCCCGGAGAAACACCTTTCTGATGCTTGATCTATATTGCATGTTTTTTTTTTCTTTTCTCTTTCAGGTTTTCCAAAAAAGGAAAAGACAAGTTGGGCAGAGCTTGTCTTCTTCCTCCTCTGTGTGGCGTTTATCGGATACGGGATCTCTCCTTCAGTCTAGTCATTTGGCTAACTGGGATTTGGTTGGCGTCTTTTTGCTTGCTTCTGAGCATATAGTGTGGGAAAAACAATACCAATGACTTTCTCGATGATTTTTTTTTTTCGGTCCGTTGATGATACATTGGTGGTCACAGCAGACCGTCCGTCCGCTCCTCACCGTGTTCACCTTCTCCTCCTATTTCTCCAATGAACCATGCATGACTGGCGTGACCGCTCGCTCATTCTCTCTCCATGCCTTCCTTCCTCTCCCTATCCCGTAAATCCTTACTCAGCACACTACCGTTCATATCAAATGCGCGAGGCTATTGCCATCCGGCTCAACAAGATTCCAATCCATTCCATTCCAGTCCCGACCAACACTTACTACCTACCCACTGTACCCGGAAATACTGTACCATGCCACATATATCAACCCAGGAAGTTACAAGCAGCCAGCCAGCCCAAGTCTAGTGTCGGTATTTACTAACCTACCCCATAGGCTACTAAAATCACAACTACCTTAACAAACGACAAAGCCAGACATCTATCTCTCAACGCTGTCCGTCAGATCAAGGACATACCTACATAAACCAAAAACACACTTACTTACGAGAATAAAGCACCGCTACGTACGTACGTACCTTAGGTAGGCAGGCAGGTAGCTGTGGTCAACAACTCGCTCTCGCTCTCAGTCTTTCACTTTTTGCCGGCCGGCCGGCTGGGGGACGTGGGGATTTGGCTGGGTGGGTAGGGCTGGGCTTACGGATGGATGGATAGGGTAAATATGATGGTGATGGCAAAGGGATGTATCAGGTTAGGTACCTAGCTAGGTATGTTTGGCAGGTATATTTGGCAGGAGTTCTACGTGTAGCACTTTGAACGAGCCCCGGCCGTTCATGTCCTCATGAGATCTTGACATCTTCCTCGGGCTCAGAGGAATCAGAATAGAGGTAGATTCTGAGGCTGAGACTGAGGCTGAGACTGACTCGAAGTACCTCTAGGGATGTGAGGACTGGATGTCGAAATAATTAGATAGGGCTTATATTATTGAAATCAGAATTGGAGATGGGAAGGATGATTTGGGGGTTGAAAAGTGATGGTTGATGACAAGATGAGTTCGAGGCTTGATGTTCAGGGTGGATCTTTGATCTTGATTTCGAGACTCTGGTTTTCCAATTTAGGACCGTTCAGGTTATAGGTTGCAGGTTTGATTCAGGTTCGGGGTCAGGTTATAGGTTATAGGTTATAGGTTATAGGTTATAGGTTATAGGTTATAGGTTCGAGGTTCAGGTTCAAGTTTGGGGCCAGGTTATCCTAGAGGTAAGGACAGTGGACAAAGGATTGGATGCATTCATAATCTCCAAAAGTAGTCAGTGTCATCATTCGCAAGGCATGGGCGCAATTTCGGGGGGTTTTTACAGGCACAGGCGCAAGGAGCTGTTGAAATTGCATTGTTATACTATGATGTATCACCGTAGATGGCTGTACGCAAAACGTCTTCAAAAAGGGTCCTTCTAAACAGACAGAAAAACAAAAATATCTTTGATGAAACCTAACGCCATGACGCCATTGACAGTGACTACCAACAAAAGCAGAAATCATCCCTTTTTTCCTTTCAGCCCAGATCCAGGATGCCCTCAGCATCAACCAAGCACATTAGCTAGCCACACTGGCTAACCGTTCACCTCCTCTTCTTGGCATTAACATTCCTCCCCGCTCCGACCTTGATCCTATTATTCCCCGTCCCGCCCTGCCTCTGCCCCGTCAAGATACCCGGCAAGTAATCATCATCCATCAGATCCCTATACCGCGTCCTCTTCTCCTCCTCCGTCCTCCTGATATACTCCTTTTGATCCTCGGCGAGAATCAGTTCCTTACCCCAACCTCCCTTTCCACCACCTTTCACATTCTGGTTCTTCCCGCTCGCCGTACCGTGCGTCGGCTTAGGGATGCTGTAAACATTTCCGCGGTTGTTGAACTGGAAGTTCTTCTTGAGATGCAAAGTAAAGTTGCCGGCGGCGTCCGTGGTGCAAGAAACGCGGGTGAGCGTGGGTTGGCCGCAAGAAGGACAGAATTGCTTGGTGGTGTCCTTGCAGACTTTCCAGCAGCCGTGGCAGCGGAGGACCCAGGTCTTGAGAACGGTGATGCGCGCAAAGGCGGAGTCGAGAAGGTTCAGGTTGATGCGCAGGGAGACGTTGCGCATGGCCATGTCGGAGGTGATGAGGGCTGCCTGGAGCGTCTTTTGGAGGGGCTCGGGGGCGACGTGGGCGGATTCGCGGGCTTGGACCTTTTTGATGTTTGTGGGGGCTGCATCAAGCATGTTAGCAACTGTTGGTAGGTTGGGAGAGATTTTGGGGAGACAAAGAGGCGGCTTACTGATCCATTCGCCGTCGTCGTCAGAGGCTTCGCCATCGTTCTCATCTTCTCTTTCCTCTTCCTCAGGAGCAGGTGTTGTCTCCTGCTCTTGGCTTCCAATGTCCAGCTTCTCAAGCTGCTCCTCCACTTGCTTCACCTCCTCGGTCTTCTGCTCCGTTACGGGAGCAGCATCGTTCTTCTCCTCGGTTGTGGCCTCCTTCTCTTCGCCCTCCTTGGCCGGTGGCGCACCATTGACCGACTTCTGACCGGGCTCCTTCCTCAGCCGCCAATCACCACCGTTCCTCTCGCACTCGAGATCATACGTTAAAGCGATCAAGTGGATATCGGGCTTGGACAGAACCATAAGATCACCGGTGCGGCGGGCAAAGTCGGTGACGAACTTGATGGACTCCGGACGGGGGGTGCGGAACTTGAGGAAGGGCATGAGGGTGGTTTGGAATCGGAGTCGAGTGGCCTCATCGCGAATTTCTGATACAACCGAGGGGATGGTGTAGAGCTCCTCGGCTTGGGCAATAAGGGTAGAGACGCTGGGGTCGTTCTTGATGATGACGTTGGCGTCGATGACGAGGGAGTGGACGGGCTTTGTAGTCGTCGAGGTAGCGGCAGCGGGCGCTGTGGTGGTGGTGGGGGCAGGGTTCTGCTGGCTTTGCGCCGAGGGTTCGGCGACGGCGGGAACATCCATATTGGCGGTGGTGCGAAGGACGACTGGGATCGTGATACTGTTGAGTGGATTGAAGTGGCCGAAGCGATCAGATGCCAGTATCAGGCAGTGAGTAGCAGTGGTGTTGGTTGGAGAGATGGAATGCGGTCGCCAAAATCCAGGCGGAATCTGGTGGCAGAATTTTCTCTGCTATCGATTGTCAACTGCAGTGTCCGACGTGAAATCAATGGACCCGACGTTTAGAAGACTCGATGATTGGTCAATTTGAAGGAACGAAAACCCCACTTTTAGGTCTTGGTATCCAGGTTTACCATACACTAAACATTGTCCCCTGGGCGCTACTCTACTCTGACACAGTAGCGTATTGTACGTTAAAGTTTCAGTGAGCTTCAATGCGACAGCGGTACACTTTCCGAGCCCCCAACCTTTTCCCGTCCATGGCCGGCTTCCGATCCTTCATCTAACCGACATCTCGCCTATCGTCCGTTTGTTTATTACCGTCGGATCTCTGTGCCGTCACTCACTCTCTCCTTTCCTCTTGTCGTTGTATGTTGTGCAGGCACAAGCAGTGAATTTCTTGCATACCCGGGACTTTTACCCCCGTCTACCCTCTACACTTACATTTCTCAACCCAGACCGCAACTTCAACTTCTTGTTTCAACCGCATCAACTCATCTCACGTCTCATCTTGTCACATATCTACCCCTGACTCAACACTCTCGTCAAAAAGGGAAAAAGCTTTGCCCAACGGTCTGGCTTGGATCTCCGCTAACAAGGATACAACGTGTTTTCTTTGCATGGTCGCATCTTGAAGAGCCTCCGGACTTTCTTTGTCCAGGCAACCATGTGGAAGGGCGGTGATCATCATCCCGTTTTTCTGGAGTATCAGTGCGCATCTTTTCTGAGTGCAGGAACTCTCATGCGCGTCATCGAAAGCTGAACTCCAGCTCGATCTCGTCGTCTTCCCCACGTGGTGGTGGCTCCTAGGCGATCGTCATTTGTCCCAAGGAGCAAATGAGAATGCCCGCTCCCTACAGTACCAGGAATCCCCAGTGCTCAAATATGACAATCTTCCGTATTCCCCTCAACTAAACCCACCCAGATGGCGGAAATTGGCCGGTTTGAATGGCCTCACTAGCTAGCCAAGCGAGCTGCTACGGGTTTGCCTCCCCATCTCTTGCTACACACGATTAACCCGAAGAGCCGAGTCATGCATGTACATTCCTTTTTTAAACTTTTCCTAGTGTACCGGTGGAATATCTGCCTTATATCTCCATGCCCTTGGGTCCATATCGTCAGATCAACGCATCATGTAACCTTTACTCGCCTCTCCCCACAAGCCAGACCTCCCCAGGGTCCAGCTTCGTGATTCCGTTCCTTTGGGCTGGCCGTCTTTTCCCCCCATTACAACAGCAACCTTCACAGTCATGAATCAACCACCCATTGAGGATATACGACGACAAAATGCCTTCATCATTGTCTCGGCCGTCATGATAGTCGTGGCCCGTTAGTGACCCTTTCGCTCTTGGCTTCTATTTCCTGAAGTGGTCCTGACTGGCTCCAGTGCTGTTCGTCATCCTCCGGTGCGTCAGCAGGTTCATCCTTATCCGAACACCTGGCCCAGATGACTATTTTATCATTGCTG